CCAGGTCCTCGGGCTGCAGGAAGCTGCGGTCCAGCACGTCGGCCGCCTCCCGCCAGCTGGCGAAGCAGGCGGGGCCCCGGCGCCCGATCTCCTCGGCCGCGTCGCGCGTGAGCACGTCCCCGCCCGGCGTGAGCACCACGACCGCCGGCAGTCGCTCCACGGAGAACCGGCGCCCGAGGTCCCTGCGGGGCGGGCGCGTCAGTCCGGCCGGACCGCCGGACCCGTGACCCCGAGCCGGGGAGCCCCACATCCCTCCTCCCGGGACTGACTGAGCGCTGGGGACGCCCGGGGACCAGGACAGGCCGGCCCCACTGGCCTCCGCGCTGTGCCTCTGACATCCTGGCCACGCTCCCACCTCAGGGCCTTTGCACTGGCCGTGCCCTCCGCCTGGAGCACTCTCCCCAGACATCTGCGGGTTAAGCCCCTGTATGCTGCAAACACCCAACCTCAAATGGCAACGCCTCGCCTTCCCTCTGCTTGCAGCTCCTCTCAGCATCAAACACACTGCATAGTTTATTTATGTCTCCTGTTTATCGTCCTCTCCCACAGTAGAATGTAGCCCCACTAGGCACGGATTTCTCTCTCTGTTCATTGGTATCCCCAGTGCCTGCAACAGTGCGGGCACACAGTAGGTGCTCAGGGGACGTGTGTGGGATGAATGAGTGACTCCTGAGAAATGCCATGAAGAAACATTAAGGGGGCCGGCTCGGTGGCGTAGTGGTCAAGAGCGCATGCTCCCTCTCGCCAGCTGGGGATTCACAGGTTCTCAGGCTCGGATCCAGGTGCGGACTGACGCACCACTTATCAAGCCGTGCTATGGGGCGTCCCATATAAAGTAGAGGAAGCTGAGCACGAATGTTAGCCCAGGGCCAATCTTCCTCAGCAAAAAGAGGAGGATTGGCAGCAGATGATAGCTCAGGGCTGGTCGTCTTCACACACACACAAAAAAGAAACATTAAGCTGGGTGAGGGACTCATGGGCAGGGAGGCGCCTCCCTGAGGGGGCGACCTTTGAGCTGAGATCTGCAGGATGAGGAGGGGAAAACTGGGGGAAGGGTGGCCCAGGAAGAGGGCACAGCCCCAGCCGAGGCCCGGAGGCGGGAGGGAATCTCAATCCACAGGCCTTGCAGGGTCATGGTGAGGAGCTGGGATTTTGTCCTCAGTGTGAGGGGAAGCCAGTGAGAAGCCATCCACAGCCCCAGGAGACTTCAGACCAAACCTCGCATCTAGGCCGGAACCTGCTCAGTCATCGTGGAGTAAAGGGGGCAGTCAGACTGGCCACATCGCCCAGAGTTGGTCATTTCCACCCACTGGGTTCTTGGGGCCCCTTCTCCGGGCCTCCACACACAGAACACACGGTACTTGCAAAATCCCATGGGAGTAGGTGGCCAGACTGAGCAAATGGAAATACAGGACATACGTGCACTGCGGGGACACACTTATACTAGAAAACGACTCGCTGCTGCTGTGACACCCGTGTAGCTGGGCCTTCTGTGTCTTCTCCGGCAGCGCCGCGTGTGGGCAGGACTCGCTCCCTGTCTGTGCAGATGCCAGCCTGGGAGAATGTTCTGTCGGGAGGACCCTGCCTCAGACCAGGGCAGCATTGGGCTGCGACATCCCCGCGCTTGCACTTCTCCCCAGGGAGGGCAATGTCGCCAGTCTGGGGGGAGACCGTCAGCTGAGAGTGCCGAGCCGTGGGGGCAAGCGAGCGCCCAGACCCGATGATGCTGGGTGAGGAGGAAGGTCTCCAGGCCAGAGACTCCCACCTCGTCATGTAACAAAATTTAATGAAATTGGTAAAACGTCATGAAGGCTGCAACTCACTTTCTTTTCTTTCTTTCTTTCTTTTTTTTTGTGAGGAAGATCAGCCCTGAGCTAACATCCATGCTAATCCTCCTCTTTTGGCTGAGGAAGACTGGCTCTGAGCTAACATCTATTGCCAATTGTCCTCCTTTGTGTTTTTGTTTTTTTTTTTTCTTTTTCCCAAAGCCCGAGTAGATAGTTGTATGTCATAGCTGCACATCCTTCTAGTTGCTGTATGTGGGACGCGGCCTCAGCATGGCCGGACAAGCGGTGCATCGTTGTGTGCCCGGGATCCGAACCCGGGCCGCCAGCAGCGGAGCGCGCGCACTTAACCGCTAAACCACGGGGCCAGCCCCTGCAACTCACTTTCAAATAGTCGGTGCAAACTCCCCCCGTGTGTAGATGAAGCCAACATGGCAAGATGTTAATACCTGCCGTGGGTTTCACTGTATGCTTCCTCCAACGTTTTGGTATCTCTGAAATTTTTCATAATAAAAAGTTCGGGTTTAAGAGGAATGAAAGTCGGCTGGCCCGTGGTGTAGCGGTTAAGTGCGCGCACTCCGCTGCTGGCGGCCCGGGTTCAGATCCTGGGTGCGCAAGGACGCACCGCTTCTCCGGCCATGCTGAGGCCGCGTCCCACATACAGCAACTAGAAGGATGTGCAACTATGACATACAACTATCTACTGGAGCTTTGGAGAGAAAAAAGGAGGAGGATTGGCAATAGCTGTTAGCTCAGAGCTGGTCTTCCTCAGCAAAAAGAGGAGGATTGGCATGGATGTTAGCTCAGGGCTGATCTTCCTCACAAAGAAAAAAAAAAAAAAAAAAAAAAAAAAAGAGGAATGAAATCCTTACTGTGGACAAGAGGAAGTTCTAAAATAGCCACAATCTAGGACACTTTGTTGGGCAGCACCTGGGAAAGCTTGGCTCCAGCCGCCTGGTCCTCAGCTCCAGGGCCCTCCGTGGCCCCAGCTGCTCTGAGGCCACGTCCACCAGTGAGGTGGCGTCTGGGGCGTGGCTCCTGTGGTGCCCGCTGAGCTCTCACACTGGGGTCACTTACAGTCCCCTGGATTGGCTGTTCTTTCTCTGACGGCCTCCGAGCCTGTGTCTGAGCTGCGCCCTCCGCCTGGACACCTTTCCCTTTCCTCACTCTTCACCCTCCTATCCTCCTTGTCCTTGGGGGTCTCTCTTTAAAGCCACTTTCTCAGAGAAGCATCCCCTGGCCCCCAAATCTCAGCAAGGTCTCCCCATTCTATTTCCATGAGGTGCCCTCCATCTGTCCTCCTGAACACTACTGCAGTTTGTTATTAGATATTTCTTGAGTCTTTGTTTCCTGTCTGTCTCCCCTACTACATTGTAAGCTCCCTGGGGGCTGGATGGAAACGGGCATGTGCCCCCCCCCACCCTGTGCCCCCTAGTTCTCAGCATGTGGCTGGCACACAGGGGATGCTTATCAACTCCAGATGGAACAGATGCATCAATAAGCAAACACTTCACTTTCAGCAGAAACAGCCTCTCTTCCAGGAAGCCCTCCCTGACCTCCCCTCCCACCTCACCTCCTCAGGTCATCCTTGAAGGGCAGGAAGAACCACTTCTTGGGCATGTCCCTGAGGAACAGGTCCTGCTGCTCCTCCGTGGGGTCCTGGGACACGTATACCAGGGTCAGCTGGGCCGCCCGTAGCACGTAGAACTCATCCGTGAGCCGCACGAAGAAGTCCCTGAGGACCGGTGCGAAGGCCTGGCACCGTGGGCACGAGCCGGCGCCAAAGAACAGCAGCAGCAGCCGGTTCTCCAGCCAGCGGCTGAGCTCAGCCTCTGTGTCTAGCTCATCCTGGGCGCTGTTGTTGCGAATCAGGACGCGGCCGGAGAACAGGGAGGCCATGGCAGCCCTGGCTGGGTGCTAGGGACAGGGCGGGGGGTCCTTGTGTGGCCCTGGGCTGCTGTTGGCTGCTGTCCCGGGATTAGGACTCTTAGGAGGCCAGTTAGGACCTCACTAATCTGCCTAAACCGTGACCTGATTCTGCGCTGCCTCCGAGGGCAGGACAGCCCTCCTTCTCAGGAGAGAGCTGCGAACAATTGCATTTTAAACAATGCACAGGAGCCAGCCCTGGTGGCCTAGTGGTTAAGATCCGGCACTCTCGCTGCCTGGCCCGGTTCGCTTCCAGGTTGTGGAACCACACACCTGTCTTTCAGTTGTCATTCTGTAGCGGTGGCTCACACAGAGAACCAAAACTAACAACTAGGACACACAACCTTGCACTGAAGCTTTAAAAAGAAAACAAAATCAAAAACTTGAAAAAACACACAGGATTGCAAAGGAAACCAGTCATACTGACACATAGGTGTGAAAGTATTTTATTAAATTGTGACGTGAAACTCTACGTGCTTCCTCATGAGTGCGTTAAGTCATCCTGATTCACGCGGGCTCTAGTAATTACCGTGATTTCTAAGTTGAGATGAGGAGGAATAATATTTCGAGTGGTCTGCCTGCAATGACGAGGATGTGAGACGAAATTATCTTTGATTTCAGCAGGTGACAAAGTCACAGGGCCAGCCTATACCTGCTTTGACAGGACGTGAGAAAACATGCTAAATTTTGGTTAGAAGTTAATGAAAGTAAACATGTATTTTTATTCTGCACGTTCCTGCATTCTGTCTGGACAGCCCACCTTAAGATCCTCTGGTGTGTAGGGTTGAAAATCATGCCCACAGTATTTTGCAGCTGCCTCACAACAGGAGGTGGAAACTAGCTCCCCTTTCATTGAATCCAGGCTGGCTTCCAGACGTGCTCTGACCAAGAGACTGTGGCAGAAGGTGTGAGTTTCGAAGATAAGCCTTATCTCCCGCCTCCCACTCGCTCTTTCTTGGAATGCCACCAGCAGATGCCCCATGTAAGGAAGCCAATCTAGGCAGGGCTTGGCAAACCTTTTCCATAAAGGACCAGGGAGTCAATATTTTTGGCTTTGTGGGCTATACAGTCTCTGTTGCAACTTCAAACTCTGCCACTATCTTGCAAAAGCAGCTCTAGACAATATGTAAATGAATTTATGCATCTGGGTTCCATAAAACTCTACTTACAGATGCTAAAATTTGAATTTCATAGAATTTTTGCATCACCAAATGTTAGTCTTTCAATTTTTTTCAACCATTCAAAAATGTAAAAACCATTCTTAGTTCGTGGTGAGCTGGGTTTGGCCTGCCAGCTTGGGTGAGAGGCCACATGGAGGAGAACTAGAGGCCCAGCCACCAGCCAGCATCAACTGCCACATGTGTGAGGGTCAGCCCAGCCACCAGCAGAATGCAGCAGAGTGACCGAGCCAGGTGAGACCAACAGAGGGACCGCCCAGGCAACCCATGGGGTCCTGAGAAGCCATCAATCCCTGTCCTCTGAAGCCACTCGGTGTGGGTGATCTGCTATGCAGCAACACCCAATCAGAACACCAGGTCTAGAGGATGCTTCTGGGCCTAGGAAAACATGAGAGACTCTGAAATAGACTTAGTACTGGCTTTAAAGAATAAAAAAGGAAACCACAAAATCCTCATTCTCAAGAGTTTAATTCAGATTGTCAGGGCTTTGTGAATGTGCCCTTTCTTGGTACGTCTCTTTTTCACTCCATTTAGAAATAATTTCCTGGTCTGGTTTTCCTCAGTCTGCCACAATGCTGGGAAGTCCCGGCGTGCTGAAAATTCAGGAAACTACTGAGAGCAAAATGATCTTGTTAACTTGGAAAACCTCAAAACATGTTTATTTTCGGATAGTCAAAGAATTGCAACACGGGATACACATGCTATAGCAAACCATAGGCAAATTCTGAAAGAAAGGAGGGAGTTGCGTTTATAGGGAAAAATGGGGAGTAGGGCGGGGCTGTTCTAAAGGAAAGTCCATTGGGAGAAAGTGACAGTTCAGGCCAGCAATGGCTGCTCATTGGCTGAGCTGCGGCATTTCTCATTGGCTGGGCTGCGGCATTTCTCATTGGCTGAGCTGCAGCGTTTCTCATTGGCTGAGCTGTGGCATTTCTCATTGGCTGGGCTGCAGTGTTTCTCATTGGCTGAGCTGCAGCGTTTCTCATTGGCTGAGCTGTGGCATTTCTCATCGGCTGGGCTGTCACCAGGTGGGGAGAGAAATCTTTCTTCAGTAGTAAAGTAGTTTTACTTCCTGTGGGAGATGCAGACGTCCATCTCTTCCTGTTTGTGATTGATGATGTGTGATGGGGGTGAGAGTGCCCCCTACAGGCTGTCCTGACCCAGTTTACTTAAGGTTCTTTTATTAATTTCCACAGTCTTAACAATGGAAAATTCTTCTATGATGTTTATGAGGTGCTGAGCTCCTGTTTTCAGAACAGCTCTACAAGGTCTGTGCAATTTATCCCATTTTACAGGTGAAACACAGAACCTTGGAGAAGTTGATTTTGTGGCGGAGTCACCCAGCGAATGACGTGTGTTGGACTGCAGAGCCAATTCTAACTTGACTGGGGCTTTCATTTATCCCAGCATTCCAAAACTGCAGAACCTCTGCTGTTAGGGCCCAGATCATTGTTTGTTCTGTGCATTGGAGGATATTTAGCCACATCCCTCGCCTTGACCCACTAGATGCCGGTAGCACCTCCCCTTCCCCCAGTTGTGACGATTAAAAATGTCTCCAGATGTTGCTCTGGAAATTAGTAGAAGAAATCTTAATTAAATTGGAGCCGGGAAGGCCTGTAGGGGGCGCTCTCACCACCATCACACACCATCAATTACACCAAACAGGAAGAGAGGAAGCTTCTATCTTGAGCAGGAAGTAAAACTACTTTACCACTGTAGGAAGATTTCTCTCCCCACCCAGCAACAGCCCAGCCAATGGGAAACATCACAGCTCAGCCAATGAGAAATGCTGCAGCTCAGCCAATGAGAAATACCACAGCTCAGTCAATGAGAAATGCCACAGCTCAGCCAATGAGAAATACCACAGCTCAGCCAATGAGAAGCCATTGCCACCCTGAACTGTCACTTTCCCCCGATGGACTTTCCTTTAGAACAGCCCCTCCCTACTCCCCCTTTTTCTCTATAAAGGCAGCTCCCTCCTGTCTTTCCAGATTTGCGTATGGTTTTCCCATAGCATGCACATCCTGAATTGTAATTCTTTCAGCTGTTCCTGAATAGACTCGTTTTGAAATAAAATAGGCAAATTTGCTTTTTTTTTTCCTGAGGAAGATTCACTCTGAGCTAACATCTGTGCCAGTCATCCTCTATTTTATATGTGGGTCTCTGCCACAGCATGGCTGACAAGTGGTGTAGGTGTGTGCCTGGGATCCAAACCTGCCAACCTGGGCAGCTGAAGTGCAGCATGCTGAACTTAACCACTGTGCCACAGGGCCAGCCCTGCAAATTTGCTTTTTAAGTTGACATTGCCAAGTGTCCCCAGGGGGCAGTTGAGAACCACTGCTCTAATCCTGTATCCTGTTGTAGTGGGTTGAATGGTGGCCCAAAACGAGATATGTCCAAGTCCTAACCCTCAGAACCTGTGACTGTGACCTTATTTGGAAAAAGGGTCTTGGCAGATATAATTAAGTTAACATTCTCAAGACAAGATCATCCTGGATTATCTAGGTAGGTCCTAAATCCAATGACGTGTTCTTATGAGAGACAGAAGAGAAGAAGAGACAGACACACAGAAGAAAGCCGTGTGAAGAGGAAGGCAGAGATTGGAGTCATGCAGCCACAGGCGACAGAGCCCCCAGAACCTGGAGGCGGCCAGGAAGGCTCCTCCCCTAGAGCCTCCAGAGGGGATGCGGCTGCTGACACCCTGATTTTGGATTTCCGGCCTCCAGAACGGTGAGAGAAGAAACTTCTGTAGTGTTTTTTTTTTTTTTTTTTTTTGTGAGGAGATCAGCCCTGAGCTAACATCTGCCAATCCTCCTCTTTTTTTGCTGAGGAAGACTGGCCCTGGGCTAACATCCATGCCCTTCGTCCTCCACTTTATATGAGACGCCGCCACAGCATGGACTGCCAAGCAGTGCGTCGGTGTGCACCCGGGATTCGAACCGGCGAACCCCGGGCCACCACAGCGGAGCGCGCGCGCACACTTAACCGCTTGCGCCACCAGGCCGGCCCCAAATTTCTGTAGTTTTAAGCCACCTGGTTTGTGGTTGTTTTATGCTGGTCTCAGCCTATCAATAACCAATGTTATGGTTGGATGGCCCTTAGGGTTATTATGATTGCAAGACACCCTTCAGCAATAAATTAGGAAACTTTGAAAAAATAAAGGTTTATTACTCACAAGATCTGGAAATTACACAGCACCCATGGGGCTGTTACTGCCCAAGTGCAGGTGGGGTGACTGCAAGACATGCCAATAGTCCAGAGGCAAGGAGGTAGGAGAGAAAGGGCTTTATTACAGCTTGCTAGCAAGGGGAAGATGGCCAACTCATGTCCAAAAGAACCATCTTACAGGACAAAGACTACAGGCCAGTTATATTGGGGGCTGGTCTCCTGGTGGGGGCACCCATCTGGTCTCTTGGTGGAGGCAGACATCTGGTCTCAGTTCTGGGCAGTCTTTTGTTTTAGTGGATACGCATCAGAGACTGGAGCAGCGCCCTCTACCCTGACCTCTCAGTCGTCATTGATAAATAAATGGCGAGCAATAGGATATATTGGAGCATATGAGGAAGCCATTTGGTGTAAAACTAATTCAGCCTGACCTTGTTTTTCCAAAAGGGCCAGATGTGGCCTTTGAGCATGCGTTGTACATCTGCTTTAAGCATTTACTATGTCACAAAGACAAGAACAAATGCCCTTAAGATAAAGTAACTTCCCCCACAACAGCATTTCCTTAAGGATAAGCATCTCTCTCTCTAGGCTAGGGATTGATTGCTGACCTGCTGTGACCATCCAGCTGGAGACCACAGACCTGCTACCTGCTGTGTTCACCACAGCGATTGTGTGAGTCACTGTGCCGGCTAGGCAGGCTAGACAATCTCGTGACTGTCGTAAAAGGGACATTCCAATCATAAGTGATACATGCTCTTTGACGGTATATAACCACTCTGTACACCCCACTTCTTTGGTGCCCTTCCTTCCTTGGGGAAGGAAGGCCCTGGGCTATATGGTCCTCAAATTTGGCTGATAATAAACTCTCCCCAATTTTGATTTATAGATTGGTTATGGATTATTTGCATTGACATCATTGATGATGGCTGTCAGCATAGGCTCTCTGCCCAGGGGTTATCACATTCCTAAGGAACTCAAGAGAACAAAGTTATCGACTTATAGTAGCTGGGAAGGGCCACAAAATCCACAGAGCATGTCTGGTTAGTTAGTCAGAGGTCATTGAAAGTTACAATAGGGTTTCTTTTCTACAATATGGCTTCCCTCATGTCAACCTTGTCTTGAGCTGGTATCAGGGCCACACAGTGAGGTCTAGGGGCAGAGGCAGGGGTAAGGTGGAGAGGGCATGCACATGTCCTGGGGTTCTGCTTTTATTGGGATGGGGGTGGGAGCCTAGGGTTTCATAGGCTCACTCTTTATTGGGGAATTTAAAACTTAAGTAAAACATAAGAGCGGGAATTTAAAGTGCGGAAAGAGAAAAAAGAAAAAAACAAAAACAAAAAACCCAGTGGCCCAAATGGTTACTATTGAAATCAACCAAGACCTCTAAAACAAAGGCACTTCCATGGGGAGGTGGCCCAGCTCTTTATCTTGTCACGGGGCTGGCAGTGTGCTTGTTCAAGATAGCCCGTCCTTGAAGCGAGGCCTCTTGGAAGTGCATGCCTCCGCAATCAAAGCTGCAGTTGGCACTTGCATTACAAAAAGGAAAACAATAACAACTGTTGGGGCTTACACTACAGTGGTATTTTGTTAGTGCAGCCACAAGAAACTAGTATCTTTATCGGGGCGGGCACTTGAATTTGGCAGAGAGAAACTGTTCATATTCTATATTCTACTTTAGTGAATATATTCTACTCATTCTACTGTTCATATTCTACTTTAGTGAAATCCCCACCATACAATCTTTTGGTATTTTATTTTTAATGTATGTTTCATTTCTCTCCTTCTGGAAAGTTCCAACAACTCCCTTTGCTGTGGCCTGCAGGCCCTTGTGGTCACATCAGGCTGTGCCCCAACACCTACTATGTGCCTGGCCAATTCATTCTCCATATGAGAAGCCCGTGCAGTGAGCAATCAACAAATATTTGAGGCACAGTGCTCAGGGAGGCAGGTTCCCCAAGGTGCAGAGGGGAGAGGTGACAGGTGCAAGGCTGGAGAGGGGCAGAGCCTGTTTTGCCCCCCTGTCCAGGCCTCAGTTTCCCCTTCTGTGAAATGGGGATAGGACTATTCCTTAATGGCTCATCTGGAATCCCTGGGCAGTTGTGTTTTGGAATTGGCAATTTTTTGTATATTGGGAAGGTAACTGAGCGCAGAAGCAAAGGGAAAAATGAGGGATAAATAGACATACAAGGGACAATTGAGCACTGAGAACAGCCTGGGTCAGCGCAGGGGGAGGGCATCCCTCTACTGGAGTTCTGGCACCATCTTAAGAAAAACTTGGGTTTCCAGAGCCTTTTGGATGGCAGGACTGTGGACTGACTGTGGGGAGAGGTAGAAGATTGTCACAGGCGCTGCTTAGTCAGGGGTCAGTAGACTTGGTAAGATGGAGGGGAGGAGAAGGAAGGAGGAGGAGACTGGGAGACGGGGAGGAGAGGAGGAAAGAGGAAGAGGGGAGGAGGAGGGCAGCGGGAGGGCAGGTGAGGGGAGTGGAGGGGTGGGGAAGACAGACGGTGCAGGGAGGGGAGGAGGGGACAGAGTGGGTGGGGGTTGAAAGGGGGAGGGGTGGGAGAAACATGAAAAGGGGAAGGGGATGGGATGAGAAGAGAGGGAGGAAGGCTAGGGAAGAAGGGAATCAAGGTAAAAAGGAGGAGGGGGAGGAGAAATTGAGGGAAGAAGGTGAGGGGGGAGGGAGAACAAGCACTTAGCCCACGTTTGTGAGTGAATGAATCTCAACCCCAGCCAGTGTGACAGCTCCAGCCCTCGGGTTTCTGTACCTGTAAAATGGGGTGGTCACAATAGTGCTACCTGGCAGGACAAGAACGCCGCTGTACTTACTGGTCATTGCTGAGTCTACTGACCCCTGGCCAACAAAGTAGCAGACCAGTGCTGGCTCGGGGCCTGTCCTCCGGATCTGCCTCCTCGCTCCCATTCCACCCACCCTGGGCAGCCCACAGGGACCAATGGCAGCGTGGAGGGGTGAGCGCCTTCTCCACCCTGTCCTCCAAACGGCGCTGGGGGCAGGCCCTGGCCGCCTCCCAAGGAAAGTACTGGCAAGGTCGGCCAGGCAGGGCAGCTACCCAGCCGGGGGTGGGGGTGGGTAGCGGTAGAAGACGGGGAGCTTGGAGGGAGGGATCCGAGGCAGAGGTCCACATGGGCACAGTGCAGGCAGAGCAGGGCCCAGGAGTCTGAGAAACAGATGTGCCCGAGGCCCACCTGCCGTGCTAGGTTTGGGTCCTCTGTCTTGTCCTCATTGTCCTCGCCCGCCTCCTGCCTGAACTTCTGGGAGCCCGCGAGGGAGCGGCCAAGGCTGAGGGTCTCTGAGCGGCTCCAGGTCAGCCAGGGAACAGGGTGGTGGGCAGCCAGGCCAGCAATGGCCCGCGCCTGATCTGGAGGAGGGCTTTCGGGCCTCTGAGTGAGCATTTAGGACTTTGGGGTGCAAATAAAGGACTCGTGGAGCCTCCTATGGGAAGGTGGGAACCTGGTGCGTGGATTTTGTCCTCTTTGGGCTCCTGGGTGTTACACTGAGACTTAACTGACAAGATTTGGGGATATGGATTTGGAATTAGCTGGGTCCTTTAAATAGGTCTCTAAGATTGAGGTGGGGTTTGAATTAGAACCTTCTGGGGCCCCTAAGCTGTGAGTTTAGGACGCCCCGGGTCCCTGCAATGTGTGTTTAAGACCGAAGAGGCTTTGGGGCTTGCATTTAGGACAAGCTGGGGCTGGGGCAAAAATCCAGTACAGGCAGGCCCTGAGTGTGAACTGAGATTTTCCGGTTCCCCGGGCTACGGATCCTGAATGCCATCTAGGTCTCGGGCTGGGAGCGCCCGGGAGCCACTCCGAGGAGCTGCGTGACGCACGCGTTCCCTAAACTCACGGCTGGAGGTCGGTGGAGGGGAGGAGCTTGGTTGCCAGGGAGACAGCGGCTGTCTGCGCCGGGCCGTTCTAGCCCCCGGTCTCGTTGGCCGTTGCCTCTCTGGCCGCAGCGCCCTCTCTATGGTCGTGGCTTCCGAAGGAGGCAGGCTTCGGCTACGCGGCTGAGGGGCTGTGAGCCAGGGAGGTCGGAAGAGAGCCTTGGGGCGGGCCTGGGAGGGCAGGTGGGGCGGGGCCTAGGGCGCTAGGTGGGCCGGAGTGAGGCCCGGGGGTGGACAGTGGGCCAAAGCCTGAGGGCGCGGCCGGTGGCCAGGGGTGGAACCCGGGCATGGGAATGTGGGCTAGGCCCGGAACTGGGGGCGGGGCTTGAGCTGGAGGGGCGGGGCGTGTGCTTATGGGCGGGGCCCAATGTGTGGTGGGGATTGGGGAGAGGCGGGACCTGGACGAAAGCCCAGGACTGTGGCTGGACACGATTGGGGACAGGAAGTGGGGGTGGGTACTGGGACCAAGGACAGCGGCTAGGTCGTGGCATGGGGGCGGGGCCTGATCGAGTGGTTGCGAAGGGCCTAGGTATGCGGTGGGGACAAGGCTTGGGAGCCAAGACTTGAGGGTGGAATTTGAGTCCAGAATCTCGCAGTTAGTTCAAGGCATTGGGCAGGGCGTGACAGTGACTGACGGGGGTGGAAGAACTGCGTGGGCGCGGCCTGTATTAATGATTGGCAGAGAAGCCTGGGCCGGGCTAGGGGCAAGGAGGCCTGCGCCCAACGTGGGACGAGGCGGAGTCTGGCCAGAACGTGGCCAATCCCGGGCATGGGGCGGGGTCTGGCTCGAAGCGGGCGGCCTGGGCTCGCCCAGGGGGCGGAGCCGGGGTCTGGGGGCGGAGCTCGCCGAGGGGCGGGGCCGAGCAGCCCGCGGCCTCAGCGCTCTGTCTCCGCAGGATGCGGGCTCCGGGTGCGGGCTCCGTCTCCGTGGCCTCGCTGGTGCTGCTATGGCTGCTGGGGCTGCCGTGGACGTGGAGCGCAGCGGCGGCCCTCGGCGTGTACGTTGGCGGCGGCGGCTGGCGTTTCCTGCGCATTGTCTGCAAGACCGCGCGGCGGGACCTCTTGTGAGTGCAGCCCGGGCCTGGTCCTGGGTCGCGGCCCGGCCGGGGGCAGACTGCGCGCCCTGGGGGCGAACAGAATGGGGCTGCATGGGCGGTGTCGGGGACTCTGAGGGCTTGGGGGAGAGGTTTTAGAGATGGGGCGGGGCTTGGGTGAGGGCGGGGCTGGGGCCTGACTGGCGGGTTGGGGGGCTCTGAGGGGACCTGCTGGGGACAGCTTGAGGGTCTCTAGAGGTAGATTAGCTGAGTAGGTTTCAGGGTTCTTGAGACTGCTTGGGAGACCTCAGGGGACTGGAGCACAACTTGGGGGTCTTTGGGCAGCTGGTAGGAGTTCCAGAGAGCTGGGACTAATCGGGAGGTCGTGGGGATTTGGGGGTCTCTGTGGGGCCTTGGTAACTGGGAGGCCTCTGGGGGCTCTTCAGGGACTCTGGTAGGTCCCTAGGGGTTCACAGGAGAGACCCAGTGGTTTCTGGGGACTACCAAGACACTTTGAGTCTTTTTAGAGCTTTTTTTGGGGGGGGTGAAGGGGCTTCTTGGGGTGTCTGTAAAGGACTTAGGGTCTTTGAAGGGTGTGTGTCTTCTCAGGGCCATTTACAGGTTTCTCTGTGTGTGGGGCGCTCTTTGAGAGTTTGGGGTCTGTGCGGGACTGGGGGTTGTTCAGGGTCCGTGGAGAGGTTGCTGTATAGCAGAAGACCTGTTGGGGTTCTCTGGAGCCTGGGATCTCTGGGGAGGGATTCTGGTGTGGTGTGCAGGCATCCTTGGAAGGTCTGGGGTGTCTCTGAGGGGCTTGCTCAAAGAAGCTGTTGGGGGTCCTCTTGGGGTATCTCTGGGAGGGGATTCCGGTGTTGTGTGCAGATATTCTTGGCCAGTTGTTTTACTTGCAAAATGAGTTTCTTCAGGAACAATCAAAAGAACTGCAATCTGGGATATGTAGGCCATGGTAGACTATAGGCAAATCCAGAGAAATGAAAGAAGGGGCTTGCTGTTATAGAGGAAAAGGGGGAGTTGGGAGGGGCTGTAATAAACAAAGAGTCCATTGGAGAAACCTGGGAGTCCAAAGTGTAAAGTCTTCTCATTGGTTGGTTGCTACAGCCTCTCATTGGCTGGGCTGTTGCTGGGTGGGGAGAGAAATCTTCCTTGCTCCTGCCGGGTAGGAAAGCGGAAAACACCTTCCTGTCTGAGATGCAGGCGTCCAGCTCTTCTGTTTCCGGTGATTGATAATGTGTGTTACGGTGTGAGAGCTCCCTAACAGGCCTTCCCTACTCCAATTTAGTTGAGGTTTCTCTTATTAATTTCACGTTTTTCCCTTTGGCTGAAGATCTTTCTCCAAAAGCATAGCTGATCAAGAGTCAGGTCTTCTGGGGCCGGCCCAGTGCCGTGGCACAAGTTCATGCGCTCTGCTTTGGCGGCCCAGGGTTCGCAGGTTCGGATCCTGGGCACAGACGGCCGCACCGCTTGTCAAGCCATGCTGTGGTGGCCTCCCATATAAAATAGAGGAAAATGGGCACGCATGTTAGCCCAGGGCCAGTCTTCCTCAGCAAAAAGAGGAGGATTGGCATGGATGTTAGCTCAGGGCTGATCTTCCTCACCAAAAACAAAAAAACCCCAAAAACAGTCAGGTCTTCTAAGTCTGGTAGCCTTTGTCCCTCAGTGCCAGGAAGGACCTTTCCAGGTTGTCAGGTCCTGCCTCGGAGGGAAAGTGCATGGACTAGAAACCATTTAGGCTACATTTGGGTAATAAGGAGGGGTAGGAGGGAGAACTCTCAGGCATTTCTTACCTAAAGTCTATATTTTTCCGAGGTTGTAAGCGTTGGCAATCATCTCGAGGTGCTGGGTTAGCATCACGTTATTCGGTACGTTATCTTTACAAAGGTTTGATAGGCAATAAGTACAGAACTTTACAATAAGTGTGCAGAGTAAGATTACGAGCATTACTATAAGCCCAGTTTTCAGGATGGTTCTAAACCAGGAGCCCAGACCTGAAGGTACCCAGCTCAACAAATCAAAAGATAGGGGATTGTCAGGTGAAATTGGTTGTAGCCAATGTCCTTGCTCTCTAATCTTGTGTAATTGGGTTTCTACTTCCCCAGAGGCATTTATCCACGTGCAATAGGAGGTGTTCACCGCTGCACAGACACCTCCTTGCTCAGCAAGTAGGTAATCAAGAGCTATACGATTATCCAAGACTACCTTGGCCAATGAGCTAAGTGATCATTGCTGAACTGAAACTGCTTTGGCTGTGGAGTTGGCCAACTCTTCTAGTGTCAGGAAGAGATTTTTATGTATTCACTGGCACTCACTCTGATCCACGGAAAGAAAGCTTTCTCCGTGGAGGCAAACCCAGAATCATACATGCCTTCTGGAAGTTCTCGTTTAAGGCAGTTATAGAGGATTAATGCGACAGACTAATGAGAGGCCTCTGTTTGGTTATGCAGATAGAGTAGGACAGTGGACACAGCAGAGGTACACTGTCCTTGTCTTCTCCAGCCGTTAAGGCAATTAATTGTTCAAGCATAAAGGACATTACCGAAACCTCCACGTACAAAGATGTAGCCAGGAGGTGTACGTAAGGCTCCTACATAAGTGACAGTATCTGTGGACCCACTCACTGGCATGGAGGCATTAGCACCATTTAACCGAGGCTCAGACATTGTGTTGTTACATACCAAGAGATTGCCTAAATATATGGGTATGTCAACAAGTTTGCAAATGGCCCAGTTTACATTGACGGCTCCACAGAGTTTCTTATATAGATATTCGCGAGCTCTCATTTTCCCATCTCAGGGTTGGATTAGACTGAAGCAAGAAACAAGGTTGGGTGGGCTTAGTATCCTAACTTTATAGAAGGGACCTGTAGAACAATTTAGGCATACAGTGGCATTTGGAATTTCAGCAAAATTACTTATAGGGCGAACTAAGGAATCATTGCTATCTTGGACAGATGAAGGTTTTTGATGACAAATCCAACAGTTGGAGAGGTTTCTCCCTTTCACAATAGATTGGGAAATGCCGACAAGGGCATTGTCCTTCCAAGAAAGAGAAGGAGAAAATAAAGCGAGAGGCAACAGTGAGAAAAGGGTGTACAGGCCTGGTCTGGTCCTCTTGGGAAAGCTGTCTGCCTCAGGTGTCAGGTGTTGGCCGCTTCTCTTCCTCATCCACTTGATTCAGAGGTCCCCGCGTTTGTACAGGACCAGAGGTCAGGTGGAGCCTTCTTTAGCTGTGAGATGTGTACCCCAGCCTCAAGTCTCTCAAGTTTGGCAGCCATCTGGCTAGTGAGGAGGACCTGGTCTAGTCCCTTCCAAGGAGATGTAAGGGCATTAAAAATTTGAAACGTTAATTTGGAGAATCATAGCGAGATATTTGAGGAACTAGAAGAATTTGGTATTCAGTCCAGCTTGCGGGTGTAACAAAACCTTAAAGACAATTAGTAGGACTAGAAGCTAATATCGACAAAGGTGCAAACATAATTTCTCTCTCCATGGTTACCCCCATTTTTATCACAGTAAAACTAATTTGTTTGTATTAAACTTGGCCTGATTATTTACATAAATGTAGCAAGAATAGTGACTGACCGTATAAGCTCTTTTTAAGATTGCTTTGCTGGAAACTTGTAAGCAAGGTACTAGGCTGATTTTTTCCAAGCAGTTGCTTAAAGCTGTCTTGTCATATCTGAGTCTACATATATCTCTCTCAAATATGACATTCTAGTCAAAGCCTTGGTAATGTGTCCAGTATTTCCAATTGTGTCCTGCTATAAGGAGAACAGACTCATTGAGTTTATGCAAATTTTTATATTGTCATGAAAAGAATACATAAGAGTTTCCAAATTCTGGAGGGATCAGGTAGGGAGAAAAAGATAAATGCTTCAACCTTTGTTGCAAAGATACACTTTCCCCAATTGCTGTAAGTTATGGATAGCTTAAAGGAGAGGAGAAAAGGGGTGCTTCACATCTGGAAAAGAAAACATTAAAGCAATCAGTTTTCCATGCGAGTTTTAGAAATTCTTACCCAGCTCAGTGTTATGATCTTAAAATTATCAAAAACCTGTATTGCAGAGTACTTGTCCAAGTCTTTTCCATGAATCTCTGTGAAGATGAAACATTTGTAAGAACACTGGAGTAAAACAACAGCTGTCTGTAACTGACAGAAGACAAACAGAGAGCACTGGGTGAGGGTCAGATGAGGGGTCATTATAATGCACTTGACAAGGAAAGTGGGGATTTTTTGTGACATACATTTTTAGATAGTAACTAGAATTAAAAGTGATAACATATCTATTTGACCAAAGTAACAATAAAAGATTTCAAATGCGAATACAAAAGGTTACATAGTTGTAAGCAAAACTTTAATATTAAGAAGACTCAGTTTTCCTAAGTAAGTAAAGACCTGATAAGAACAACACAGGAAATTATTTTGATAAAACGCAAAATCTCTGCTTTCTAGGCATATTACTTAAAAGGTAAAGAAGCTTTCACAATCTGTTATCAAAAGCAGATTAACAGTCCAAGAAAACCTTGTCCTTTTAACAGAAAAGAAAGCCAAATTTTAATTTTGCATCAGCTTACTTTTGCTATTAAAACTCATTCACTCAATTAAATTGTTCCAATCTTAGCCAGCTTGACTACATATTAAATTTTTTTTCTAGAGATTCTTTTTCATCAACCTTTTCACTTTTTTTTTGTTTTTGTGAGGAAGATCAGCCCTGAGCTAACATCCATGCTAATCCTCCTCTTTTTGCTGAGGAAGACCAGCTCTGAGCTAACAACTATTGCCAATCCTCCTCCTTTTTTTCCCCCAAAGCCCCCCAGTAGATAGTTGTACGTCTAGGTTGCACATCCTTCTAGTTGCTGTATGTGGGACGCGGCCTCAGCATGGCCGGAGAAGCGGTGCGTCGGTGCATGCCCAGGATCCGAACCCGGGCCGCCAGTAGCGGAGCGCGCGCACTTAACCACTAAGCCATGGGGCCGGCCCTTCACTTTTTTTTTACATTCAGACTTTGTTGGGTT